GAGTGTAAAAGTTCAGTTTAAAAGGCTGTTTGTGTTGCTGATAAGAGAAAAAGGCTCTTCCCTGGGATTAATTTGGATATATTGGCAGTAAAAGAATTAGAAAATGAGAGGGAATAAAGGGAGGAGGAGAAAATAGTAGGTATTGTATTACTCAAGAAACAAAATTACTCTGTATTTCGCTAATTGTACACCTAGTGGAGAGATGAAATTATAAAGAACAGATTGATTATAGATCCTAAGGCTCTTAATTACAAAATTATATGGTTCACATACTATGGTTATCTTTTAAGTAAAAGAAACCACACAAAAAGACAATTATGAACTTTTTGCCACAGATTCGAGGAAGTACTTATCAAAATATTCCTAATTGCAAGACTTGCAAGAATTATATGTAAGCTGAATTTACCAAAACATGCATTACTCAGGCCTGCATTGTTTTCTGTAACTCTCAAAAGGGTTTTTTTTTTTTGGGTTGGATAATCATTGCTGGTTTCTGTCTCCAGGGTATTGAGCTCACAAATCCACAGGCTCATGCGCACCAGCTTGGCAGTGGAACTCAAAGTACTTATTTCTCTGAGACGGGAACATTTTCAAAGATCAAGAGGACGTGAATCTTAGAAGATCTCGCTGCCACCATACTTTCGTTAATGAAACCTCAAGTAATCTGAATGCATCGGTCTCGAAAGATTCTTGTGAGTTTCTAAAAAGGCATTATGATCATTTGATACAAGTGAATGTTGGCATTAGGACCAGTATTTCTGCCCAGATAATTACAACAATGATGACTTTTCACTTCATGCAAGCTACTACTATTTGTAATCTGTTCTTCTTTTGCAACTGGTAGAATATGGGAATTGAGAAATTTCGAATTCTCCTTGTTTAGCTTGCTTTTGTAGACAGTTGGGGAATTAACATATCAAGAAAACTGAGCCATGTCATTGTATCTTGGACAACAATCTCGGTACAAAATATCAAACTTCTTGGCTTCTCCAGGCTTTGCATTTGTAGACATTGTGTTATGCTGTGATGTAACTAAGTATTCTTAGTCTTTTATTATCTCAAAAGTATATAAAATATTGATTAAAATCAATAAAAATATATAAATAAACTAATTACAAGTAATTAAAAATTAAAAAATTTATATTTTTAGGTATAACGTTAAGCATTGTAAAACAAAAGCAGAGTTGAAACATACCAGTGGGCAGCGGCAACTGTATACATTTTGGGCTAACTCTGGAACAATGAAGGGGCCCAATGTTTTGGGCTTCACACTTTAGATCCGATCCCAAGCCAAATCGGGTTTTCTTCCGCAGTAATTAGAGGTAACCCTCGGCAAAGCGCAAAAGAATACTTAGCAAAGAGTCTGCAATTAACAAAAATATGTTGATTCGAATGGAAGAAATTCAGTTCTTTTTAAATAAAATCTTGAATTCTATTATCTCGAATTCAGATAGAGAAATAAATATTGATAGATTTTTTTTCAAATAGAGTCCAATACAGTTTGATTCTAAATTAGTTGGGATCTAATGTGATTATCGGATATCCAGAGAATAATACAAATCGCCCTATACCCAAAGGCCATTGCGTTTATGAGGAGACCATACCCGCGGCAACCGAAGGTAATAATTCAAAATAGTCTCCTTAACGGCCTCTGCCTCAGTCACCCTCGGACCTTAATTGTGACGGGGAACAAGAAAGAATCATTATTTAACATTTTAATTAACAGAGTCATTTTCGAAGTCTTTTTAGTATTGACGAGTATTTTATTTTATTTTATTTTTTATTGTGTGTTTTATTTTAATTTTAATTAGAATAGGAGTTCTGTTAGTGTTAGATGTCTTATTAAGTTCTATATATAAATTTTCTAAATAAATATGCTTATAGTTTTTTTCATTAAACAAATAAATCAAAAATTCAGAAAATATGCCGCAAGTCTCTTGTGTGATACAACTGACTTGTTTTTATATTTTTATTTTTCGTTGTATCCAGACTTAAGTTTCATTTGAATCAACTCAAGTTCATTCTTGAACCCAAAAAGAATGTTATATATATATATATAAAAGTGATTTTTGTTGTTATTATCGTTACTAAATTTGCTGTTGCGTACCTGATCCTTTTGATTCAAGTGACCTTGCTCACTTTAAAGGTACAGTGTCACTTTTTTTATTTGTTAAATTCGAAATTTGAATCCTACCTTACTACTTTATTTAAAAAAAAAAAAAAAAATTTGCTGTTGCGTACTTGCCCCTAGAGGCCACTGGAATTAGGCAGTCAACCGGTGCATCCCCCCTGCCCCTTCGGTTTGGAACCCACCCTTGTCAAAATATTCAAAAAAAAAAAAAAAATTGCTGCTGCGTTTGCCTTTAATTTGTTTTTTCTGTTTTCTGCGTTTGCTCATTCTCAGGCAACTCTACCTGATTCCTTTCTCGCCGACCCTGAGAATTATCTGACAATGAAGCTGATTTTCTTGTAAGTAGAATTAATTACTTCCATCTTAATTTTTTTTTTTTTTTCATTTCTCGCTTGCATTCTGTATCCCTTTTGTTATTATTATGTTTATGTATGCGGTTCAGGGGAAGGGGTGTTTGACAACAGTGATGTTGTATTGACATTGTTGGTGTTTTTTTTATCTCTATTGCTCAGGAGGAAGATATTGTCAAGGATGCAAGGATGGAGGAAGATGTTGATGGAGACTTGGCAGACGCCCTTTAATTATGATGATTTGGAATAGTGTTTCAAAATTGCAGAGAACACAGAAATATATTGATATTATGCAGGTCAGTTTATTTCCTGCAAGTGCTTTCGATTTCACTTTTCACCTGTAGTTTGCTACATAGCTCACATTATAAAGTTTTGGCCTTTTTTTTTTTTTTGGTTGATTGTTCACCCCTCATCTTTTTTTTCTAATGAAAAAAAAGGGTCTCATGGTTTAGAGTAGATATTACTCGTGATTGAATTTTGTTTAATGTTTATGTTGACTATTTGCATGTTTAGTTCCACTTATCATGATGCAGAAAGTTGAAGATGCACTTCAGAAGGGTTCTGATATACTAAACCAAGGAATGGCACTAGAAGATGATCCTGAGTGCCAGCTGATTGTGGATTGTAATACATTGTTGGTTGAAAATGAGAACAAAAACATCATAATCCACAATTTTATACGGGACAAGTATAAACTGAAGTTTCCTGAGCTCAAGTCATTGGTGCTTCATCCAATAGACTATGCCCCCATTGTAAAAAGGATTGGCAATGAGATGGATTTGACACTAGTTGATCTTGAAGGACTTCTGCCGTTGGCCATCGTTATGGTTGTCTTGGTGACAGCATCAACTACTAGTGGCAAGCTGCGTCCAGAGGATATTCTTCAAAAGACGTTTGATGCATGTGATCCAGCTCTTGCTCTTGAGGCAGCAAAGAAATAGATCCTTGATTTTGTTGAAAGTAGAATGGGATATATTGCCCCCAATCTTTCTGCTATTGTTGGAGTGCTGTTGCAGCAAAATCTATGGGAACCGCTGGTGGTCTTTCAGCATTAGCCAAGATGACTGACCTCTGTAATGTTCAGCTGCTTGGTGCAAAGAAAAAGAACTTCGCAGGGTTTTCAACCGCAACGTCACAAGTTCGTGTTGGTTACCTTGAAGAACGGACAGAGATATTTCAATCTACGCCCCCTGCTTTAAAAAGTCATGCTCGTAAAGTTTTGGCTGCAAAATCTGTACTTGCAGCGAGGCTGGATTCCTCGAGAGGGGATCCATTAGGGAATGCTGGTAGGTGCTTAACGGATAAGATCCTTAAGGAAATAGAGACACGGCAAGAGCCACCTCCTGCAAGCAACCTAAACCACTTCCTGTTCCGGATTCTGAACCTAAGAAAAAGAGAGGTGGTCATCAGTTAAGGGAGATGAAGGAAAGGTAGTGAAGATTTCCAAGTTCTATTATTTATTTTGCTTTGGTGTATCTGTTTTATTTTCTTGTTAATAATTCTTGGCGAATTCTTTGTTACTTTTTTTCAGATATGCTATAACAGACATAAGAAAGTTGGCCAATAGGATGTAGTTTGGTGTGCCCGAAGAGAGCTCCTTGGGTAAGTTTACTGTTCTTATTTGATTCTTATAACCATGGTGTTGAATGTGATCTCTGATACGGCATGAAACTATGCGATTGTGCAAATTGACTTATTAGCATATTGTCTTGGCTTTCTAAATATCATCTCTGTAATATTTAAATCCTGTTATGAGCTTATGCAAGTGCAGATTAACCTTTTTTTTATCATGAAAACTCAATTTTATGCTGTATCTTCCCCAAAGTTGATGAATTGTAATATATGCTGGAATGCATTTCCAGGAACATGACCTTTATCCGGTGTGGGTGCGTTTTGTAAGTAGAGATTAGCAATGGTAGTCAACAATAAGGGCAATAGTTTTGTCCCCTTCAGCATTTTATTTTGTTGCTATGATTGTGTGTTTTTGAGACACAGAACTTGAGTTTGTTTATGGGTGTGGATACCTCTTAACTCTTGTACTCGGTTAATAAAATTCCTTTTGGCTGTTCAAAAAAGAATTATTGAGTAATTAAGCAGTAGTTGGCTAGCTAGTTTCTTCAATTTTCTTACAGTTTACATACTTTCTGACAATAGGTGATGGACTGGGGGAGGGTTATGGAATGCTTGGGCAGGCTGGAAGTGGAAAACTGCGCATGTCAGTTGGGCAGAGCAAACTTGCTGCAAAAGTAGCTAAAAGGTATGGCTTCCAGTTTTGAAGGATTTTAATTTGAGAAGTGCAGATTTTATTGCTGATTTCATGATTTTTTTTTCCCTTTCTGTTTCAGTAGTTTTATTATCCAGTCCTCAATATCAACCTTGTCTTTTGATCTGATGCCATTTTTATCTTTTACTTTTGCTCAGGTTCAAGGAAAGCCATTGTGGAAGCATTGGTGCCACTTCTGGATTGACTTCAAGTTTAGCATTTACTCCTTTCCAGTTATCTTATCTTCTGAACATGCATTATAGTCAAGCCTGCTTTGTATTCTGTAACTCTCAAAAACACTTTCTTTGGGTGGATAAATATAATCATTGCTGTTTTCTGTCTTCAAGGTATAGAGCTCCCAAATCCAGGGGCTCTTGCACACCAGCTTGGCACTGGAACTCAAAAGTATTTATTTCTCTGTGATGGGAACATTTCCGAAGATCAAAAGGACATGAATCTTAGAAGTTTCAATTGCACAATACGCTCTCTAATGAAATCTTGAGTAATCTGAAATCTGAATGCACTGGCCTCAAGAGATTCTTGTGAGTTTCTAAAGAATTATGGTCAGTCAACTCTATAATCCTTCAAGATTTTATTACGCTGGCATACACCCATTTTGATACAAGTAAATGTTGGCATTAAGACTAGAATTTTTGCCCAGATTCTTGGGTTCAAGTGCATTTTTAATATTTTTTTTGCAATACAAATATATGATAAATTTTGAGTAGATCTGTCCCTTGATTAAGGATATGCCAGCCATTTTCTCAAAAAGGATATGCCAGCCATAATTAGCCATTAAGCTGATCCCCAAGTCTATGACCGTTGACCATCCTAGTGTAGAGTTGGCTGCCTGCCAAGTGCCAACCCTAATCAATTATTGCTTTGACTAATCACATGTTGCTGCAA